CTTGTTATGCCAGCGGGCGCTAGGGGAAACAGCATCTCCCCCAAACCCTTCTGGTCCCCCCTAGTGAGTCTATAGACGGTCACCAGGTCCCCCCTCAGTCTTCTCTTGTGGAGGCTAAATAGGTTCTTGGTGCCCTAACTCCTACTGGCTCCAGGGGAGTCCCTGATGATTAGCAGGTACTCAGACCCCCTAGCTTGGCCAGTTATCAAGCAGCTACTTTTTTTAAAATTATTATTATTTATTTATTTATTAGCATAGGATCACTTTTTTTTTAGTAAGGATAACTTATGCTTTTAAACAGAATGGGAAGGGAAGCATGCACCCTGTTTAACAGCATGAACTATCCTCCCGTATAAACACCAGGAGCTGAATTCTGATTTGTTCAGAAACCCCCTTCGAGCTAATACCCAGGGGCCTGTCTAAGCTCTTGGGGCGTTTTTGTTCCTAAATGTCCTGCTTGGATCCCAGGCCCTTTGTGGTATAATGAAAAGAGGGTCTAGTCATGGACCAGGGTAACATGGATGAACATAGGTTTATTTTTGTAAACCATGCATGTAAATAAATTAATAGCTAATATTTTGGACACATCTGGCTCTTTCCCCATTACTCCAATAACAACCCTTACCCATTTCCCTTACCCATGAGCGCTACTGAAGGAAAGCCTGGGCAAACGAGTGTGTGTTGCTGTTAGGAATAAAAAAAGGCCCTGGGTGCAAAGTAGGTGATTTGTTACCACTCTGAACTGGATTGTTAAAATGATATACTAGCCCCTGGACTAAGGAAGACAGCTATGTCAGAAAAAATATAGGCATAAAGTTAGTAGGATTGCTATGAGTTTAGGCTTTATAGCGTGAATGGTATGACATAAACTATAATAATCATCCTCCATATTTTTGAAAGGCTGTGGGCTGCTTTTTCATTCAAAACCCTCTTACGTGGTGAGTCAGGGCCAGCTTAAGTCTCGCTACAATTTGGGCGTGCTATTTTTTTGTGTGGTTGTTTTTGCCTCGCATTAGTAGCTCTACTGACTGCAGGTACTGGAGCAATAGCTGATTTCTGTTTAGCAATCCAAAAATATTCATGATAGAAGCTGAGACTTAATATGTTCTGTGTTTGTAAGTGACCTCAGCAATTTTCCCCAGTGATATCCATTTCTCATGAAAGGTGTATTTCTTGTATAAATCTGGAGGAGCTCACTGTGTGTCTGACAAAGTCACTACTATGTGAGCGCATTTCAGTGGGAGGGAGGGAAGTGATGATCTCATGTGAAACTGCAGAACAAAAATAAACATGTTCAGCAACTGCCTTATAATGATTATATACTTAAAGAAGAGCCTTTTATTGCTTAAAACTTCACAGAACTCAGAAATAAAGGGAGCTGTCTTATGGGATGTTTAGAAAGGAAGAAAGTCATCCCCAGTAATTTCTCAGGGTGAGGAACTATTTGAAAGACAGTTTCCCCCCTGCCACTCCCAACTCTAAAATTCTTCATATTATCTGTTAGTTTGAAACTGCTCTTTATGTCCGTGTCCACACATGGTGCGCCACCACTACTTGTCCCCAAGGAACGCCCGTGCCATACAGGCTGTGGCACACAGTAAGTTACCCTGGGTCGGATAGGGGAGACTGGGGCCAGCACTGAGCTGGCCCCAGCTGCCTTACCTGGGGTTCTGGGGGCTCCCGGGGCTGCAGCAGCCGCAGTTCTGCTGTGCGGAGCCTGGCTGGCAGCCGTAACACATCTCCAGGTGGCCTGGCTCCACTTTTGAGTGGTGCGCATTGCCCATGTGTGTGCTGTTCTGCTTTTTTTTTTTTCCCGTGGGTTTTTTTGATCCCTGGATATCCAGATGTTTGACCCCAGATATCCAGGGTTCTTTGGCCCCTGGATATTCAGGTGTTCTCTGTGTTGCAATGGAGCAACACAAAGGGTTTGTTTGTTGTTTTTTTAGCTGCTCCATTGCAACATAGAGAACATCAGAAAAGACGTGTCTGTGGCACCACATACTCCACAGCTGCATTAGTCTGGACATGGCCCTGTTTCTTCAGTTTAGGTTTAAATTAACTCAACATTGTGAATCCTTGCATTCTCCCATCCTTTCCTCTTGCTAGTAAACTGAAGTGAAACTGTTCGTCGGTGAGTCTGTGTATATTTGGTGGTGTATTCTGTGACATCTAAGTACAAACTAAGTCTCAATAATAGACATTAACTGGATTAGTGTAATGAACGTCTTCAGTTTACCTAATACCATTTTTGGTATGGAGGTCAACTTACCTTTGGTTTTATATGCATCTCAACTTTGTTCCCAAATATTTTTCCACTCAGCTTCAAAGTATAAATTTGTAATACAGATAGGACACTCAGAAAGTAACAACAGGAATTAACCTGAATGGAGCAGTGTGGTATCTTTTGAAAGTGTATATGATATATGCTTGCATTATAGTATTTGTTGTAAGATTAAAAAAAGGACATTAGCAGGTTAGAGATTGTTTATGAGTGTGTTCTTTCTCTCTCTCACACACACACAGCGCGAGCAAGCAGAATGAAACATGCCATCTCAAGTATCAGCAGACCTGTTGCACAGTATTTGGCTTAAATGTTTTGGATGGTTTCTGTTGTGATTTCTTTAGAATATTTTGTAATAAACTGCACACTTACTGGTTTTTTTTATGGTTTTATTACTTTTGTTCTCCAGTGAACAGAGTATTTGCCAAGCCCGGGCTTCAGTTATGGTCTATGACGATACCAGTAAGAAATGGGTGCCAATAAAACCTGGACAGCAGGGATTCAGCAGAATCAACATATACCACAACACTGCCACTAACACCTTTAGAGTAGTTGGAGTTAAACTACAAGATCAACAAGTGAGTAACCAATATGCTTTGTTTCTTGAAAATTCTCCTTTGATCTTTAAAGATATCATTTAGTAGGTAGTTAATGCATAATTTCCCTCACCTACGAAGTGTTTGTTAATTCATATTTTAGTCCAGCCACTTTACTCCTGTGTGCTTGATTGACCAGTGAATGTACTTTTATCTGTTAAAATTTGATACTTTTTCTTTGTTTGAAAAAAGTACCTTCATTAAATTTCCATTATGGAAGATTTTCATACATTTTCCTTCTCTGTTTTCATTTGTGATCATATTATCTGCTGGTGGCTTTGCTCCCTGCTGTTCATCATGACAATTCCATTCATAGTACAAATGTTTAGCATTGTACATGCTGAATAAACCATCGTTCAGTCTTCCTTGAGCATCTTCTAGATATGATTCTTGCCTTCCTAACTAATACCTCGTATTGCATTTCAGAACCCTAGGCATGTATTCTGACTTCATGTCCAACAGCATCAATCCAGAGTAACTTGTTTGGCTATAATAGAGCTACATGGGATTTACTTAATAAAAACTGAGACCAGAATCAACTCCTTACTCTGCATGACAGGGAGCCATTACTGCTAGTGATGGCACATTTGTCGACCTGAAATTTGATAGCATTTGTTCACTTGGTGTTGTGTTCACATTTGTGATCCAGTCAACTATTAGGACTAGAAATCATTTCCAGTTTAGTTTGTAGAACAAAGGGCTGGGAGCCAGGGGGCCCTTTTCCTGTTCTTAGCGCCGCCCCTGACTCATTTGGGACATAAGGAGCATTGCTTGCGTTCAATGGGTCCCATTTTCTCCCATTGGTAAAATGTGATAATACTTAGTCTGCTTTAAAAATGTGCTAAGGTGCAGTGGTTGTTAGTTGTTGTTAGAAATTCAGCTGGACTCTCACTACCCTGATTTAAAAAAAACAACCCTGAAGCAACTTTAAAATCATAGTGTGTTTGTTTTTACCTGCATCTTTGAAACCTCCTTCAAAGCCATATTTTCCACCTCTGCTTTTACCTTTTCTGGTCAAAACAGTTGTAGGTAGGTGTGTTGTATTTATTATACATATAATTAGTTTTATATTCATATGTCCTAATCATTTTCTTGTTATTCTCAGTAGAGTGAAAATAGCTGTATCTGCTGTGATTAATTAGTAATGAGATTAGGTATCTTGGTTTTAGCTTGGATGTCAGCATGGCTCTGAAGTGCTGCAAATTAGCAAACTTTTACTAACTAGCCAGCACAGAGAAAACAGATCATAAGTTCATGTGGGCCCTGCATAAATATCAGCTGTATAAAAATCACTAGCAATTGAGTGGTGTTTTTTAACTACACATTTATAACCCCCTAGGGCTTGCTTAATCAGATTCTACCATTTGAAGGTAGGTCAAATTTGAGGCTTGAACTGTAAATCTTGATGATGATGCTTTAAATATATTATTACATTAATATTAACTACTAATCTTACTGCAAAAGTACCTATTTATATGAAATACGTAAGGGGACACACAACACAACCGAAAATATCTAAAAGCAGAAGTAAACAAATATAAAACACCTTACTTCTCTACTGGTTTGAGCTATTCAAGGTGAAAAAAGGTTGTGAAAGATACCTTGGGGCATGTCCCCATATGCTGGGGCATGTAATTGCAGCAGGGGAAAAAAGTAGCTGCAGAAACTTTTGCACCACTACCAGGATCTCCTGGTAGCAAATTTTGTTCCCGGTCTGCAAATTTGCAGCTGAGGGCATGTTTTAATGTGCCAGGCATGTGGTTTGTGGCACCACAAACTGCACATGCCTGCACATCTGGATCCAGCCTTGTTCTTGTTCAAAGTCGCTTAACGTTGCATAAAACGTGGATTTAAAGATAATTGCTGATATTCATTTACAATCAAATCCATTTGAATATATCACGTATAATGTATAGAACTAGTATTTAAAATACCTTTAAAGACATTTTCTGGCGTGCAAGGGATGGGGTATTATTGGAACCAAGACTCTAAATGTTGTTTGCCTTTAACAATAACAACAACAAATTCCAGTGTTAATTGTTCTTCACCTGGGTCGGCTCATGCATACTTCCAGCTTGTGTGCTACAAAGCTGGATTGAAAGGCAAAGGTTTGTTAGAAATAAGACATCAAGTTTTCCTGGATAACTATTTAAAAGAGTCAGGTCCTCAGCAGTGTGGACAGGCATAACAAAAATTTAATGGAGCTCTGCCAATTTATACTAGCTGAAGAGTTTTGTCGTCTTACTTTCGGTCTTTCAACATCTTTCATTTTAATTTGCATTCTGTCCTTTCTTACATCTTCCAATGTATACAGCTTTTCCCTTTTTCTTTCTCTGGCTGGTTTTTCTTGCTTATTATCCTGCCTCCCTTCCCTTTTTTTGGTGCTCCATTTTATGACATTTTAAGTAGTCTACCCTCATTTTCCTTTTCTTGTTCTCAGTTTTAGCAGTTCTGACCCCTGCTAAAAAAAACTCACTGCAAAAATTCCATCCTGCAAACATGATGTTGAGTGTGATCATATATAAATTTAGTAACTGGAAATGGTCACTGAACCTCAAGAGTTGTTTGCTTTTAATTCGCACGGTTGCTTTCTCTGTCCCAGCTGCCGTGGTTAAGTATATACTAAAGGCCTATGGTAAACGAAGTCGTCTGTTTCCTCTGCACAGATGCATGTATCTGCATAGACTCCTGCCAGCATGATTGACAAACCCAAAATGCAGCAGCAGTAACAGAGGCTAAGGCATTTTTGGAGCTGTGGTCATAATCAGCATGCTAACTGCTTCCGTTTTGTTAAAGTTCTTCACTTTGAATGTATGCTTGCAGAAAGCAGCTCCTTTAAGTGAGAGCTATGATTAAGTGATTTTTAAGTGAGAGATTTAGTATCAAATGATCTGGCCTTAGGGGAAACGAGTTAGCAATCTTACAATCTGCATGTGACAGGTCTGTCCTAAAGAATAGATGAGGCAAGTTAAACATGAATTGCTCTCCTGGGAGATTTGCGTAATGCTTGGACCAGCAAATTCATGTAGAAGTGGGACTTTGGAACAGCTGGGACTTCTCAGATTTGAACACGGCACAGGCTAGGCCAGGATTGAGGCTTCTACTTTGATAGCATCTGCTGAGTTAAGTATACCCCATTTTTTAAAATATAGGGTCAAATTCGCACATGCTACACTATAATGAAGTTGAGGAGACTTGGGCCTACTTGCAGCAATGCTGAGTCTGAATTGCATTTATAGACATAGGAACCATTCTGAAGTAATTTAGCCAAAACCCTCAAAGTTCTAGGAAGTTTTTGAATGTTTTGAGTGCCACAGTACCAAGTTAGTAGGAGATTCCTGTTCACCCTGTATCATCACCATCATCATCATCACACAGAGAATAAGACCAAACCATAGATCAGAGCCCCACAGTTTTAGGCTTTGTACAAACCCATTGCAGTACCTGCCCCAAAAAGCCTTCAATCTAAGTCTAAGATTGAAATACAATAAATGGGTACAACAGACAATAAGGTAAATCTGGTTAGCATGCAGAGTGGTGGGAACACTGAAAGAAGGTGCATTTTAAAATGGATAATACGAAATGCTTTTCTTTTTACTATTCACAGCTAGGTTGTGGAGCTTATTGCCACAGGCTGTCATTGATACAAAGAGCGTAGCAGATTCTGAAATGGAATCACACATTTTTATAGGTAACAAGGATACCTGGCCTTACACAGGAAATACTAAAAGGAGAGGGGAAATAATGTTCCGAAAGAAATAGTAAGCTTATGCTTCAAGACTTAAGCCAGTTGCTATATCAAATAGTAAAAAGGAAGCAGAACCTTTCTTTCACAGCTTACTGCTGTGAAAGTTAACTTACACCTACCTCTGGCACAGCTACTACGAGCTACCAATGGAAAATAATACCAGGCTGGACAGACCACTGGCGAGGTCCAACATGGTAGATTCTTGACATACATGGCTGTGGAGGGATCTTCCCCTAGAAATGTTTATAAAAGTTATCCTCTGAACAGCGGTTATTTATTTTAATTGCAGTTTCTGATCATCAGACTTTTAAAGTCAGGATTTATCTTGTGATCTCAACACCAGCTACAGCAAATGCCACACTGCTTGTTCTTTCGCCAGCGTATAAACAACCTTGTCTTTGCTTTATTCCGAGCTTACTAAGGGAGAGACCAAACTCTTGCTATTTCCTTTTCTCTTTGCTCATTTTAAGGGGGTCACCCTTAGAAACGCCTTTATAATTCTTTTGAAGCATCTGGATAGATAGTATGTGTGTCTTCCTAAGCGTGTGAGTTGATGTGATCAGAAAAGAAATCTGTCTTCATCCAAGCTAAGTGATGAGAGTGAGACCCCCAAAGTGAGCCTAGTGCTCACTTTGCCCCACATAGGACCAAATGCCCGACCTAGGACTAAATGCCCTCAGAAGCAAATCAAGCAATTTACCTGTCTTGATGAATCATTTATGGGGAAGCAGTTTTTTACAGTTCATATCTTTCATTATATTAATCACTTGTGTGCCACTCCCTGAAATGCTCTTCAGACTTGCGTAGACCTGTTTGTCTATAAGTATGATACTCTTTATAGAGGAATAGGACAGACTTTGCAGTGTCCTGAGCTGGCCTCAAAGTCATCCCAACCCTATGGGGAGGCTGTGATTCCCTCAGCTAAGTGAGAGATGCCTGGAAGGTTTTAAAATACTTGACCATGAAACTTCTCATATTTCTTTGCCTAAATCCCAAGGGACTGTCTGTAGGATGTCATTTAGTCTTTCCTGCTGCTCAGACATTGTCCCTGCTTAAGTAAGACTCCATCCTGCTTCCTTTTTCTCTGGCCACATGAATTTCTCCCTCTTGGCTTCCCAGTAGTCCAGTTTCAACAGGAATGGTAGAGGCTGCCCTCAGCTTACCTCAGCCCATAACAAGGTGATTCAGGCTGGGAAATGGTTCTGGCTAAGTGGCTCATGGGCAAGTGTCCTAG